TTCCTCGTTAAAATTCCGATGATTGCAAAAATGGCGCACACTGAGATTTAAACCGCCCAGAAAAACGTATGCAGACATGTCTGCGTTATCCCCACTATTAGCTAAACGCTACAGACTATGCCTTATTACCTGATCACCACATTGTCCGGTCTATCGCTCATCACCTGAGAGAACGCCAGCTCATTTACGAAATGAGAAGAAACGGTTTCAGCCACAAAGTAGGTGTTTTGCGCACTGATCCCGGATGCGACGTCACCTTTGTATAGGCCTTTCGACCCTGCCCATAAGCCGTGAACATGAGATCTTTCCAAAGCTTCTGAGATTTTTTAGAATTAAAATAAAAAATGTAACAGAAATTACCCGACAACCTAATATTTTAGTTGTTTGCCCACATATGCAATTAATTACAAGTAACATGCTCATGCTGCTTACCTCGGACAATGCCGAAAGCATAGGCCATTCGCTCTGAAGTAAAACGACGTATTGCTGTTACTGTTCTCATAAACTTTTCCTTTGAATAAGCAGTCTAGGTATCCAAGTCCTGGATAAGAAATACTACCTGAATTGCACAAGACACTGAGCACAGACGATTGCCTTCAAGTTGGCATGAAAGAGCCTCACTGGCACCACTAAGCAGAGTAACACGATCAAGGTAAGCACAAACTTTGCCATTCTCCTTTCTGAAATCGTTGACGAGATTCATCTGTCGATCACTTAATACATTAGTCAAGCATTCACAAAATTGCCAATTGAAGTGATCAAGTCGCACTTGATCGAATGTAGGTGGATGAGACATCTTTGATTCGCATTTTCTTTAATTCGACTTGATTATTTTATGAATTAGAAAAGCATTTACACAAAAAGGGATTGAAGAGTCGCCTTCACGTGCAAGCGACGATGTGCAATGCGCTGCTCTTATAACTACGATTAGACAAAAAAGAAATTTAAAAGGCAGAAGAGCGTCACTTCTGAAGCAGACATGTTTTACCAAAAATTGCAGCACCTCTCCCTTTTTCAGAAATGTTCCTAATTATATAACACTGTGATCATGGAAGTTCCAGAAACTCGGTAGCTGTTGTCTATCCACGGTAGCTGTTGCCTATCCAATCAAATTCGCTCGCGTATATTCTTTCTCTTTCTTCTTCTGAGAATTATTCATATTTGGAAATTTTATGTTTTGCTCTTATAATTCTACAGACATTCTGACTATATAGTGAGAACAAAGGAAGGAGAGAGATATGGTGTGTACAATAACAATGTAGGGACTTCAATGGCATACATTTCGATATATTACAAATCTTTGAAATTATAATCATAATTTTTCAGTCCTCAACAAGCTCTCATAGTTTTCAAAAAACTGCAAATTTTGCGTGAAATACCGAAAATGACATTTTGGGAAAAATTGCATTCTTCGCCTATTTTTGTTTTTGAATCTTGAGCTGTAAGGAAAACTTTAGCCATATGCTTTTTAGCTATATGCTTGAGCAAGTTGAAGCTTGGTGGGTTTCTTAAAGAGAAGTTACGATTTTTTGGCAATGGTTAGCTAAAGATGTTGGCATCAAACTCTGAGGGAGTTGAGCTTTGTGCAAAAGTCGTAGCATGTGATGCGATAGAATTTTAATCCAACATAGAATGGAGTTGAGCTTTGTGCAAAAGTCGTAGCATGTGATGCGATAGAATTTTAATCCAACATAGAATATTGCTATGAAGGTGTTCACTGGAGTTTACAGAGCCTTGATCGACGAGCGACTCAGATATTAGTCGATCCAAATTTTTAAACCCTCTCTAAGAGCTGCCTTATATCTCTAGTATTCGTAGCCTTTGCGATGTTATGGTCATGGTTCTTCGTTGTCTTACAACAACGCTAGAGTTTCCCTAATTCTAAAATAGTTTCCTTAACATTTCAAAAGGGCTTATAAATTAGGTAGATCAAGTCTTTAGCTACATACTTTCAGTTACTATATACCTACTTGCAAATTCTCAAAATTCATAATGGTTACAAGTTACGAAAGCTCTTCAAATATAGCGCAAAAGCGTGCCAAAATTTCTAAAAAACTGCTTTTTTCGTAGCGAATTTTGATCATCCTTCATATGAATGGCAACAATAATCGGCTTCGATCGCAAAAACTTTGGGATCTTTTGCGTTTTTTTTTGCCGCTGTTATTGTGTTGGATCAAAAGAGCCTTGGTGTGCAATAAATTTTATTGTGAATTTTTGAAAAGCATATCAGAAATTAGAGCAGTTTCACACAGTTCGGATTCTGCTCATGTCTGTTAGCAATCTTTTCAGAGTCCTAGAATAAGTTTTTTAAAAGAGAAATTGACATGACGGATGAAACAATTCGAGTTTCGTTCATTCGTCCGTAAGCAATCTTTTCCCAGTCCTAAAATAAAATTTTCAAAAGAGGAATAGATATGACGGACGAAAATTTTTTGTATAACGGGGAGTGTTCGAAAGCACTTGGTTTGATAGTTAACATAAAAAAAGAGTGCCTCGAACGCGTATTCAGATGCTTTTATGCCGCTATTATGCAGGGTTTTATATTCGTGGAACAAAAACAAATAAATCGTTCGGAACAGCTTAATATATGTTGAAGCGATCTGTGAGCATTAATACCCTCTAAGGGCCGCATGCACTAACATCCCCGCGGGGAGGGGATCGCAGCTTAAAAGAAAGCTTTATATTTCGTAACTCCAGATACCTGGATTTCACGTTGTGTACCTGCCCGTGAATATTCCTACTACCCTTCACTATGAACATGTTGAAGAGAAGCGAGAAGGTGTACAAACCGCATTTTCCAGCTTTTGCATGATCCCTGATGATCCCCGGCGCTTTTCTTCAAAGTCATTTTTCTGTTTCCGAAGTTGACGAAAAACCTTTAAACTTGTGCAGATTATCTAACCCGACAGTGCTAAGCATGTTGCTGATAAGAACAAATGATGTTTTGAAGTCATGAAATTTCCGATGATCCACAGGTCGAAATTTGAGGTTTGCCGAAAAATTCGACTTTTCAAAAACTCATTTGTTCTCATCAGCAACATGCTTAGCACTGCTGTGTTAGATAATCAGTACAACTTTGGAAGGTTTTCGTTAACTTCAAGGAAAGAAAACTGACTTTGAAGAAAAGCGCCGGGGATCGTCAGGGATCATACAAAAGCTGGAAAATGCGGTTCGTGCAGCTTCTCGCTTTTCTTTAACATGTTCATAGTGAAGGGTAGTAGGAATACTTACGGATAGGTACACAACGTGAAATCCAGGTATCTGGAGTTTCGAAATATAAAGCTTTCTTTTAAGCTGCGATCCCCTTCCTCGGCGGGGATGTTAATGCATGCGGCCCTAAGTGCCGCACGCATTAACATCCCCGCCGAGGAAGGGATCGCAGCACAAACCAGAACTGCTCGTCTTATTTTGTCTCATGTTTCTGTGAAAGTTTACTCGGTCACTCAGCACCCTGAGTAACTGAGTAAATGTTTTTATGAAAGTTTACTCAGTCACTCAGCACCTTGAGTGACTAAGTGAACTTTCACAAAAACATGAGACAAAATAAGACTGCTGGAAGTCAGCACACTCAACTCATTCACGTTGCTAGGTGAATTCGTTGCTGCCAAATTCACCTCAAAGGTAAATCTTCCTTACTCAAAAGTAACTTTTTGCACTGAGATTTGGGCAATCATCTTGTTTGGAGCTCCATGTCTCTCGCAAAACGTCGAAATTTCCAGCTTAGATTTTCGCGGCTCCTACAATAAACCATATGAAGAAGTATTTCAAATCACCCTCAGTGCTTATGTTATGGCTTCAAAAGCAGACACCTAACCTGAAAGGTATTTAACTCAAAGTGGCTTCCCCCGGCAAGGTGCACACCACAATAACCGCCTTAAAATGCTGATCGATTATGTTTTTCTTATTTGCTTAGCGATTCATTGAAGTTACAGGCATTTGTTGGGGATCAAATGAAACCAAAATCGGTTGCTGCAGAACTAAGGAAGCAGAGCAACTTCAAAACTATTACCATTCATGTACAATAAATATATCTAGCCGTTGAGCAGATAGAAGACTGTCTTGAGAACAGCACCAGAAGAGCATTTGATTGGTATACATCTGATCGATAAAGTCTACTTTGAGTCAAATATCTCTTTTAGACTTTGGAAAAAGTATGAAGGCATCTTGTATAGAAAAGAAGTGAGTAAAGGCTGAGAACCTTTCGAGATAAACATTCGTTTCTCAAACAAGAGCTTGACAACTTGCTGGCGTGAATTTAGAGGTAGGGCTCATCTCATTTAGTCCACCACAGCTCTTCATCAAATCAAAGGCTTTGTGAGACCAATTTGAAGATTTTTAAAGCAGAATTTCGAGGAATGTTTACGGTCCAGTAAAACATCAGGTTCTTGCTTTATTTCACAAAAAGAAGTGGGGTCTATGTTATCATATATTATCAACAGTCAAGCGTTTTTCTTTCTTGTACTCGCTTAAGCACACGTTCGTTCAACAAGCATTTGCTCTGATGACGTGCAAAACTATGTGTGTCAAACAGGATCTTAAAGTTACAGCAAATTTATTGTAAACAGCGTAAAATATGGCAAAAAGTCCAGAAAGGTAATGGCATAGGTATGGAGAAGTAAAAATCAAACACCGGAAAAGATACAGAGTGTAGAATGTCAGCTACTTCGTGGATTGATTTTTATTTTGAAGTATGCATTTTCATGGCTCGAAACAAATAAAATCAATGGCAATAATTCAGTTACCTATAAGCTAAATATGTTATTCATTGTCAGTAGATCGTAACAGACAAGGATTGAAGACAAATTTTTCTGAATTGTCCATCCAGTTGTGCATCCAGTGCACAACATATCACATCCACAGCACAACATATTGCAATATATCTTACTATCTTTTCCGCAGCTCTGCAGATCATCAAGTTACATAGGTAAGTCGTGCCCTCATGCGGATGCTAATATTCGTAGGGCGAACTGAAGGAAGGGCGAGAGGTCTCAGGAGCTTCGCTAGCCCTGAGAAGAGAATGCAAAATTTCCGAAGTAGCTTGATTCTTGGCCAGATTCTAGTCGGGGCGCGATTTGCCAATACTCCAATTGTCCATAACACATCCTGCGCTCATTCTAAATATGCAGAGTAAGACATTTTTAAACTCGACTCAACACCGAGGATCTGCCGAGAATCTCCTTTTCAAATTTCAAGGCATAAGCACGCAAGCTTTAGATGAAAATCGACTCGAGTGCCACTCCCTCAATTTTTAAAAGGGAGACGTTTTTGACACATTGACAACATATTGGAAGGATTTGATTGCACGCTTCAACGCAGAATACGACAGCATAAAAAGAAAGCAATACTTTTGCAGTGCAAGGTGTTCGCACTTATAGATATTTCCGATGATTCTTGGAAAAAATTTTGAACGACTTTTTGTAAAATTTGATATTATCAGGTTGTTCGGAAAATTGTCGCATTACATTCTTGCGCGACAGCTAGATACGAAGAATATGAGTAGTTCACCAGGCAGTGGCGGACCGAGTTTGCCCCCCTCCCCAGGAAATGGGGTCGCGAAATCCTTGAAATGTGCTTACATGGATTATGCAAAAATGTGCAAGTGACTTGTTCATTCTTGTAAGTAACAAAAAAATTTTAAAATTTTTCAAAAATTCAAATTGACCTTGTAAAAATTTTTTATCGAAGCCACGGCCGTTTCCTTCAAACGGAAATCCCGCGACCGCCACTGTTACCACAGGATGGAGCGAAGCAAGTTCTACAGGGTGTCCCACAAAGATATGCCACTGTTTGATCATGACTCTCGTCGTCTTTAGGCGAGGTATCATTCTGTAGAGCAAGGTTCAACTTAGATTTACAGTATAGAGTAAACCACTGATCGCTCTTAATTACTGTAGGATTACTACAGAAAAGAGAAGGGTTTTAAGCCATTCAGAGCCATATTTTGCATCAAAAAGAAAACCAAACAAGCTAAAAAACTTTATACCGCGCTAATGAAGGTTGCTGATTTCAAATAGAAATTGTCACTTCAGTGCATTGCTTCTTTTTTAAGGAATTCCAAGGATATTGTGACTAGTGCTTCTCTAGTGTTTGCCAGGAATGCGTTTACAACCATTGAAAAGCTCCAAAAGCTGTAAAAGTGTAGTAAAATCAGCATGCGCGAAACCTTTCTACACAATTGTCCGGATTTTTTGGATAAACATTCGTCAGATGGCCTTTTTTACAATGTTCTATGTACTGAAAGTTCTTACCGTAATCTTACAGTAATGAAAAGCGATCGCTGTTTTGCTTTTGTTTTGCTTCCGTGAAAATATTTGATCTGGTATTTGAAACCAAAAAATCGAATACAAAAATCGTATCCTCGTCCATAACTTTTTAAAAATTTACAAATTGCGCAGGCATGTAGTCTCCACACCAAACACTTACGTCTAAACATCGTGGACTTTACGACTAAAATGCCAAAAACAAAAATTGGTCAAAAATACGAATTTGTCGCGATTTTTGTTTTTTTTGCGATGAATCTTTTTATTTTATTTTATTTTCGATGCACCTAAAAGTGCTCTGCTAATACTACTATCTATTTGTAGCGGTTAGAAAACAACAGTGCAGCAACAAATCGTATTGTTAGTAACAGTAACTGAAGCAAGAGCTTTGATGTAAATGTGGAAAATGTAGAATTTGATATTTCTCGAAAACTAGCCCTTGTAGAAGGCTGGAAATCAAGAGTCGAGTAGAGGGAATAGTACTGGGATTTTCTACATTTACATCAATGCTGAGACTGGAGATGGTATCAGATAAGGGTTTAGTCCGGCGCTGCGAACTAACCCTTCCTTCAGTACCAATGCCAGGCAGCTTTTTCCCGGAAGAGCGTAAGATAATTTGTCAATGACCACGCATTATCCAGGTAATGCAGCTCTTAAAAAAGGAGGAGTCTGCAGAATTGGAACGAGCCAAAAATTTAGAAGTTAAAATTTGAGATGCTTTTAGGACCGTATGCACGTACATTTCCACATCTAACAAGGAAAAGATGGTCAGTCGAAGTGGCCTTTTGCCATGATTTGTATGCGGTATTGGAGGGTGCAAAATGCTAGTTCCAAATCTGTTCTCCTTATCTGTGGCGCGCTTCTGGACGAGGAGTTATGAGCGTTTGAAGGGTCAAAAAATGAATGTTTTTTGGGTTAAAAACAGTTGCAAAAATTTTCCCAGCGCTTGAGTAAGACAACCGGAGTGCAGATGTACCTCATCTAAGAGTGTTTATTTCATAGAGTGCTGGAAAGATTGCTATTGGTCCATATGAGCGCTAGGAAAAATGTCATTACTGTTTTTATATTATTTGTATATTAAATTATTTTCTCTAATAATCGTTCATAACTTCTGGTGCAGGAATGCGCCGCAGATAATGTAGACAGATTTGGAATCAGCGTTTTTTGCCCTCCAACATGGTATACAAACCACCTTAAAAGGCCACTTCGACCGACCATCCTTCCCTTGTAAGAGGACAAGCGTCATATTTTGCCACTCTAGATACCTATACTCTTCTTTTTTTATCTATGTTATAAAGGCTCTTATACCTTGACTCAAGCATAGTGGAGAAGTGGCAGGGCATTGCCCCAACAAACTGAGGTTTTCACAGTTTCGTTCGATCAGTCGCAAAGTTGTGCTGAGGATCTACTATCGCATTGCTAAGGATGTTTTCATAGCTACTATAAACATGTTTAGCAGTGCTATAGTATATCTTTGGTACAGTTTTACAACATTTTCGTCGAGTTTATAGGAAGACAGATGATTTTGCAAATGTGAGGTAATCTTCGGAGGATTCTAGGGGATCAACAAGACAGTGAAGACCTCATCAAGAAATGGTCAAAACTTAACCCACTCATACCGAACAAGCTATAAATCATGGGATTTGCATTGAGACACTGACCTCAAATTTTTATTAACTAATTGCCAAACACTATCTGGACGGAATTACGACGTTTGAATGTGCGATTTGCCAAGTGTTCTGCCAATTCCACGAAATAAGTTCCAAAAACATTTGTTCAGATTTTTGGTGAATGCGCTTCTTCCTTGTATTTAAAATACCCATCGTCACTGTAAATCCGCCCCATCAGGCTGCCTTTCAACGAACTGTCGTTGGAACTCGAATACTCATCTTTGGGCGCTCATAACTTCATCTAGAAGATCGCCTGGCAGATAGCAGACATATGTTTGAATTCAGCATTTCAAAGTGTGTCCGATGAGTCACGGCTTGTTTCGAATGCCTGGCTTAATTCCTGACAATTTCCTACTCAGTCTGTATGGCAGACTGAGTAGGAAAAAGGAAACTGTATGTTCTGCCATCCATTATCAAATCTTATCGTGTGTAAGCCTTTATAAGACTTAATGAAAACGAACACCACAAATACGTAAAGTAAGGAGTCTCCTCTCACTTCCCTCTTCTCCTTCACGGTGATGTACATGCATGCGGGCCTTAGTCATAAAAATTAATGGAGTAGGAAGCATTTACTGCAGAATGTTTGCTTCGTCCCTGTCAAACACATACAACTAGACAAGATAAAAACCTTAAATTGAATCTTTGACAATTCTTGAGATGCAATGCTGCAAGAGAAGGGAAAAACTTTGTCGAATATTTTTCGAGGTATTTTCATCCTTCGGACTAAAGTAAATTATGCATAGGTCAATAGTAAATCATGCATAGGTCCAAAAATGGTATGAACTTCATAATAATAAAGACTAGTAACATCATTCTGAGATAGGAAGATCGAGAACACTTTGAAAATTGTCTAAACAAGCTTTAACTTGTTATTTGGTCAAAACTAGCAAGTATTGGGAGGTGGCCTTTCCTACCGTGAAGGGCAAGCGTTAGACGACAAAACGTGCAAAATGCAGTCAACATAAAGCCCGTAAGTCGAAACTATGCGCCATTTTTTTGATGGCGTCGAGTAATGTATCGGCCCCAACCCCCACCCCCCCCTGTTTTTGGCGGAGGAGACGTTTTGCACGGGGAGTTATTCGGGGCTTAAAAAATTGGGTTTGTCGCCTAACGCCCTACACCCTCCTACCGTCTCCTTAACCGCATTTATTTTTGTCTGAACACGTCACGCACGCGGCTAATTTTGAATGATTGTTTTTTGTACATACTTGTGTAGAAAACAAAGCAGCAGGTTATGGTTAGTAATCATTCATTTATTTGGTACTTTGAAGTACTGATCAAATACTTTTCTGAATGGACGCTGTTGAGCGAATGTATAATTCAAAAAAATGCAAACGTCATCATTACTTGTTCAAAAATAATCTGTATATAAGTGAGGCGACTTGACGTAAAATTCGCTACTTCTCTATTTCAAGCAAAATTTAATCGTTTTGAATTCATCTTTTTTCCAGTTTGGTAGATAGCGCGCAGTAGTCAATTGTTCAAATAGGCATTTTCGAAACATGAGCTCAAATTTCAGCTTTACCTCTGACAAGGGAAGGATACCAAGTCACAGTAGAGAATTGAAATGATACGCATATCACTAGACGTGTCTTGATGAGCTGATTCCAAGTCTAGCTTCCAAATCTGCTATGCTCTTTTCTGGAAGAACTTATGAGCGTTTGAATGTCCAAATTTCACCAGCATTCAGTGCTACATTTTCAAAAATTACTTGTTCAAAAACACTTATTCATGCGTTCGGTGTATGTATGCATGCCTTGTAGTCAATGTACCCAAAACGATACCAATTAATCACTCCAAAGCTGGTTTTTGAAGCACATCACGCATTGAAATCCTCTTAACTTCACATCTTTAAACGCCCATAGCTTCTTCTAGAGGCTCGTAGCAGATAAGAAAGGTAGATCTGGAATCAGCTCATCAAGACGCATCTAATGATATGCATATCGTTTCGGTTCGCCACTGCGACCTGGTATCCTTCCCTTGTGAGATCCGAGCAAGAAGATTCTTCACATCTTCATTATATGGTTATATGCGATATACTATATTGAAATGCATCGTTGAATGGTTATCGATTACTAGTTCTCGATTACGTTTCTTGATCACCTTTTTCTGATTCATGTGAAACTTTGATTTGCTTTATTCTGACTCCAAACTCATAGCTTGTTCCAATCTGCAATTTCAGACACTTCGGCATCACCTATACACTCTAAACAACAAGTATGAACTTGATGTTGCTCATGCATTTACTCGTGATATTCCTATTTTTGGTAAGTTTTTATGACCCAAAATCCTAATCATTTAATCAACTTACAGTCGAGCTTTGTCTTCGATGCTGCTGATGCAAAAAAGAAAAAGAAGGCGAAGAAGGCGAAGAAGCCAAAAAAAAATATGGAGTGTTTATAGGGTAAATCCCATTTCGTATAAAGGCATCGAATCTACGATCTTTATATATATATATGTATTCAGAAGGTCACATCTGTTACCGTTTGTGTGAAAATTATTTACTAAGCTTATGAATTTGCTTGCCATCTTATAGCACATGCTATTAGTTGATCCACTTGATCTATTTCATCCACTTCACTATTGGTTGAATTATAATAGTAAACTGGCCAATAGCGAAGTGGATGGAGTGGATCAAGTGGATCAAGTGAGCATCCGCTTCATTGTTGATCAATTCGCTGATTTGACCAATAGCGAGGTGGTCCAAATGGATTTGATGCGTGCTTATGACACGCCCGGCTCGTCGAGATAGTCCTTTTTTGAAGGGTGAATAAGAAACATGGTGTAAGTCAAATAAACCCGATTAAAACCCTGTCCAGTGGAAATGTTGCTAAGGCGTGCGAAAACAAACTGTACAGAGTTTGTCGTGAATCTTTTTGAAATCAGCGGGTAAAATGGATCGCTTCATAATTTGCTAGACATCGATAAAAGGGAGAAGACTATGTGCAATACTTGAATAATCAGTCTTGAGTTGAAATCTCAGAAATTGCTTCAAACTTTATGTCAGCTGACATTTCAAGCGGAACCAACATCTGCTCTTGCCTTACCACTGCAAACGCACGCTTGAAAGACACATTAAAGGCAGCGTCCCACCAGACTGAGGGTACCTAGATCTGGTAGTAATGTAATAGTAGACCCCCTAACCAAGCGCCGACAGAAGTTTGCAGCGCGAAAGGGGGTCTACGAAGTCTACAAATCGCCCCTCAAGTGGTTCGAATCGTACTGTAGGCTCGGGCGAGTGCGAGATGCATGCAAGGTAGAGCCGCAGAGTCGATGCGGGACCCTGCGCTCATGACTGTGTGCGCTATACGCACTCTGGCCTTGCAAATTGATATTGTTGTGTGGGCGGCGTCTGGGCCTACCGTAAGATTCGGGCCATTTTCGGAGCAAATTGCAGGCTTGGTAGACCCCCTCTTTCGCTCCGAACTTCAGTCATCGCTTAGGTAGGGGGTCTGCTTTAACATCTCCACAAAACCCGGCACCCATCTTTTTGCCGGGACGCCATAAGTATAGAAGAATATTTATACTGAAAAAGGACAGCACTTTTTGTAAGTGGAAGGTCTTTATTGAAATGGTTACCCCGTGTAAATATATCGCACTATTATGGCACAAAAGCTCTTGCCTAATTCAATCAAAATTCAATAACATTTCAATTTGTCAGCAAATTCATGATTTTTTAAGACCAGGAAAACGTCTATTTTTCGAGATTTTGGTCTGATCACAATTTTTCGCTGGCTGTTTTGAAAAGCCTTAAATTTCAATGGCTCTTTGAAACTATTACTTCGAGTTTCAATTATAATAAATTGCCGCTATTTAGCAAAAAAAAATTTGTTGAACTTTCTCACACAGCTATAGCCCATGTACGGCTAAAGCACGCTTCAATATATTTATTCTGCAAGTACGCATTTTGAAAATCGCAAAAGTATCACAGTATTAAAACTATGCATCAGGACAGGATTCTGGTCTTCAATCGTGTTTCTGCGGGAAATTACGATGAGAATTTCTTCTAAACTTCAACGTTCTTGGCAAAATTTGTTTTTCTTTTATTTTTTTGAGAGAGAGATAAGCGTGCTACATTAATTATGAACTATTTATGAAAAAAAGGTGTTTTTGAAGATTTTTAGCGGTACCATAGTAGGTCAAAACTCAAATTATGAGCTTTGGAGTCTCATTTCCTACAAGGTTAACCGCTGAAAATGGTTTAAATCACTTCCGTAAAACGCAGACCTTCACTTCTATAAACAAAATCTTGGTTTTAGATCGAGAATTTGGCAACTTTTCCAAATTCATAGAACAACAGGGCTACTTATTGATATTACATGCATGGCGCAGTAAAGTACTATTACCCCATGCCTCCCCTGAAAGGGCAGCCCGCGCTGGAATTGTGAGCAGAATTTTTGTTTCAGAAGGTAGGATCAGGGTAAATGATTTGTTCTTGTGTCTTGAGGGCATTTGCTCAATTTATCCGCTTCTTGGCTTCCTCGAGTGATTGGTATAAAAGTTCAAGAACCAGCGAAACTTGACCATGGCAAAAACCACTGTTCGTGCTTTTTCTATATAATTTTCTGAGAGCTTGTCGGTTAAATAGCATGACGATAACACCATTTATATTGATGGCAAGCTACTTAAGTACACCTAATTTTCACGACCCTTGTTCTGCTGGACATTATGCTCGTTTATGAGGCGAAACTACTTCCATTACGAACTAATAGAAAATTTTTTACCGTTTTAAGCATCAAACTATAGTCGGATTTTACTTTTCGGAAACCTATATGCTTACGCTTGTATTGCGTTTCCTTCATTTTGTAAAAAAATTTATTTTCCCAGTAAAAGTGACTGTTTTTCTTGTACCACATCATCGTGAAACAAATATTTCGGTTTCTGATGTATTAATTCTGTTCGCTGTTCATGGAAAACATGCAAAAATGCGGAATCTGATGACACATTCGTCATTCTCAAAGTCGTTAGGTGACTTTCAGGACGAGAGAACGTGCGAAAAAACTCTTTACGAGCGACAGTTTGTCAGTGTTCTGAGATACCCTCAATCTCCAAAAGTTACACTCAAAGCAGACCCCTAATTTTTGAAGAAATATGAATGCATCTTGTATGGCAAAGAGATGAGCAAAGGCTGAATGAACACTTTCAAAAAATGAAGAAACCTTTCGCAGAAAAGAGCTCTGCAACTAACTGGCTTAGTTTTGGAGGTAGGTCTCATCTCATATAGCCCACTATAGCTATTCATCAACATAAATGCATCAAGTAATCATCGACGCATCATCGCGAGTGAGACCAAAAGTTTTTAGAGAAGAATTATGACAAGGGCTTACAGTCCAGTAAAATTCTAGAATTTCGCGTCATTTAAGAGAAAGAAGTGGAGTCATACGCTATTATTCAGCGTCAGCAGTTGAACGTTTTCCGCCTTGTTTGCGATTGAGCATGCGTTCACCAAGTGAACATTTGCACTAATTACGCTGCAAAAATATGTATGCAGCAGGATTTCCGAGAGTGAATCTGCTCTGAACAGCGTTAGATTATGATAAAGAGTTTGAAAAGGTAGAGGCATAAATATGGAGAAGAAAGGACCCACCAGTTCTGGAAAAGGTACAGAACGTGAAGTACCTTGAGTAGATTAGTGCAAATGTTCATTTGACAAACGCATATTCAACCGCAAACAAGAGAGAAACGTTTAACTGCTGACTTCACGAAGTAAGCGCTTCAAGAACTTTGACTAATCAAGTTGATGATAGTCATTCGATTTGAAACTAAGCGTAAACCTTTATTCAATCCAGCAAATCATCAAAGACAGACACTGATAAAGAAAATTTTCTTACTTAAACTATTCAACCGGCTGTACCAGGCTTCAATGCGCAAGAAAGATGTCGGCAGCTTTGCAAATCAAGGAGCCAGATTGGTCGAACCCTTATGCGGGTACTATACCAAATGTTCAATAGAGATTATCGGAGGCGAAAGGAGGAGAAGTGAGAAGTGCGCAAAACCTTGCTCCCCCAAAAATAAATTGCCTTGAAACAGCTTCATAGGTCACAAATTAACCCGGTTTTACACTACATGAATGAAATGATTTCTAAAATTTGAGGAAAAATATTGAGAATTTGCCACCACTCCCTTCTCAAAAATCAGGGACATAAGCACTCAACAAATTTGAAAGCGAGAAAAATTGTCTCGGTAGTTGCTGTCCGAATCTAACAGCTCGCGACTTTTAGACAAATCGACATCGTAGTCAAAGCAAAGTTATAAAAGCATAGACGGAGCGCGAAAAATCTGCCATGCACTGTTTTTTGACAAAAACAATGTTCTGAATTTTACAAAGAAACATTTTGAGCAAATTCTTTGTTGATATTACCTATGTAAAGATCGAAAAATTCAAAACCTCAAGTTTTAAAGTTTATTGATCATTGGACATTATTACAAAGATTCCTTCAATTCTTGTCTGTATGAGCGTTTGCGAAAATGATGGTCAACTACATACCTGCAGAACTTTTTTAGTTTTGTGGAGAAAACTCTAGCATCAAAGAGTGAAGAATAGAGCGTCTACATAATACCAGGTTGCCATCAGCTGTGTTCAAAATGAAATCAAATGTAATAGTCACTTTAATGAGATATAGGATGAAGGAATGGCATTAATAGCTGCATATCACGGTGCAGCTCCGCAAAATCATCCGCCCTTTTATTACCAGTTCCAGACAGCAATTTTTAGGAAGCAATTGCGACAAGTCAAGTCAATGAACCCTTCGCATTATTCAAGACAAATCTAGGAAAGAAGAGGACTCAGCATAATCGAGAACAAAATTAAAAAGTAGAATACATTCAAAATTCATAAAAAGTCAACTGAAGGGATGCAGGAAAGACGTTTTTTTGTTAAATGTTTGCTTTGTTTTCATCAAAATGTTGTCAACTAGTGGAAATCTAGACAAGACAGAAACATCATGTTCAAAACTTTGGCTACAATCCAAGAATATGATGCTGCTGAAAAAAAAGGGAGAAGTTATGTCGGGTATTGGCTTGAAGTGTAAATTCATCTCATGTAAATTATACACAAGTCCAAAAATTGCACGAACTTCCCAATTAGTATCATCATTTTGAAACAAGGAAACACGAAACGTTTGCAAACATTGCCTAAACAAGCTTAAACTTATTTTTTATCAAAAGTATAAATAGTGGGAGATGGCCTTTCTT